TATTGCTTTACATTCTCTTATTTTTCTTCAGGTATAAAACTAGTTAACTCTAATGATGATCTTGGTCAGAACTATAATACTCCAGACCATGTGTATAAACGATTTACTAATGACCATAGTACATCTCCTTCCGTGGTTATGATTGTTGGAAGAGGGATAACTGAAGCACAGAATGTAACTGAAGAAGCGAAACGTTATCGTTTAGCGTCTATCAGCAACACATCGATGTAAACTGAATTCGCATTCCTCTCTTTTACTTTATTCCCTTCTTAGTTTATTAGAAACAGAAAGAGACATTGTATGAAATTATTTTTGATAATTCTAGTATGTTTTTGATTTTGATATTGAGAATAATTTTCAGTTATCAATCAATTATTGCTACAATCATGGGTGTTTATTATTATTATTGTATTGCGTAGTTTAAATAAAGATCTTTTTTACAAATGGGATATTTCCTGGGTTGATTTTTCAGTGAATGACGTACGTTTATGAGTTAACTGATTCACAATTCTGTAGTGTAATTCATTTCACTACAAGTGTTGGTTTACAAGGATTTGATTGATTTGGTCACGAACTGACTTCATTTAAAGAACCATCGTGAACCAGGTAGGCAGTAGTGTAACAACAGAAGACAAGGGTCAGGCAACAGATCGTTTATTTATGAAATCAACAGATATTTATAGATTTTCATGTACATTATTATAGATTATTGTTAGCAGGAAAACATAGTCTTCTGATTGGTGGTTTCTCGCTGAACGTCAATCTTTCATCCATTTGTGGCCGTTTATTGAAGTTCACATTATCTATCTGCAAATTGTATCCGCCTACGCAAAGTCTGCTCTGACTGGTTGTTGAATCAGTCTTTGTTCTTATTTTTCTCACGACCAATCTTCGGGTGGTAAATTACTGCCTACCGATTTGGCCAGCAGCCAGCTCTCACCACAGTAGTACTGGACTCTTTCTTCATCAGTGCGCACCCGTTACCCTAGCAATGATCCAACCCAGTACCATTAGGTGTGGAGACAAACACTGGTCAATGACATTGGCCTTCCGACGCACCTATATATCGCGAATTGGTAGAAGTTAGACTTGCTTGGTTATTGGATCGCGTCCCAGTACCTGGAATGGTCAACGATCTCGCCTTGTTGCAATCTGATGGTCCGGAGTCCAAACCTTGGTATCAATTGTTAACACGCAATGTTTAGAGTGATAAACAAATCAAAGTCCAATTACATAGTGAAAGTATACTGAGATGATGAGTAATAAAACGGGTCACTACACACTACTAAGTGTCCCCCAAAAGAGAGGAGAGAGATGTTCTTTGATTTTCAACGCTTCTCTAAATCAATTTAGTTTGTGATCAATCACAGTGAATTTAAAAGTCGTATTTAACCAACTGCTTGGACGCCTTGTATGGAATTTATTAATTCTAAGTCAGCATTTATTACGAACCACCAGTAGCTAACAACGTAGTAAAAATGTTGTTGTACCACACCAACGTTTCGCTTTAGCTTGCACCTCTTGAACAATGGCTATATTTATGCACAACACGGATTAGAACCTACACGTTTCAGGTTTATTGATTTGAAAGTCATCATTTAAGCGTCATTCTCTTGCATTCCGAGCGGAACATAGGTCCTCGAACTTCGAAGTTTCACCAGCAGTTGCGAGTTATAAGTATCTACGTAAACTCTGTTTCTATCATTTGTAACTGGTGTTTCTTCCTTCATTTGTACTGAGTAAATTTTTCGACTGACCAGAAAATAGCTTGGGTTTGACGAAATTGCCATTACTATTAACTGTTACGAATATTTGCATGAAGCTTTTGACTAAAGGATCCGTTTTCTGCTTCTCTTCTCACTATGTCATGATTTCTACGCTGTCTAACAATTTTAGCTTCATTCCTCGTGCTTGCAAATTAATTCATCGCTTCTCTCTGCAAGACTCATACAGAAGAGGTCATACAATATACTACATAGAAATTTTTAGTCAAGAACACGCGTCATATGTATACATAGAAAAAATATCCCAAGAAAATAAACAGTTTAGAGCTAATTTAAAGCACTTACTCCATTGAGCTCAGACGAATAATAAATATCTTCACTGAGTGATACTATGTTTTGTATTGATAAATGTTTAATGTCCTCTAACCCTTAATACTCATTCATGAATATATTTCATCGATAAGCTGATTAACTTCGACTATGCAATTTTCTGAAAATGAAGTCCAGTTACCAATTAAATCCCCGCAAACCAACACTTGAAAATCAATCTGATGTTCAGTAGCGACTGGAGCTATTCAGAGGGGGGGATAGTTACATGGGTTCTAGTGAGAAGTAGTGACCAGTGAGGAGGTACAACAGGTCGGGTGTGAGGACAAATACTCGCCAGTGATGACATTGGCTGGTGGTCGTCCTATATCATGAGTCGGTAGGATTTGGAATTAAAGTGTTGGCCATTGGATCGGTTCCCATTGGTTTAGTGATCTGCAAGCTCACCTTGTGACAGGAAGGTTCTGGATTCGAACCTCTGTGGTGGCTGCATACTGATGAAGAATTTCAAACTAGGATGAAAGTATTGTCCAGCACTCCCAGGTTTTCCAATGGCTCTCTAACCGATGTCAACTCATGATGAAAACCTGTAACCGATCGAATCCCCACAAACCAACACTTAAATATTCATTCGATTCTTAATTATTTCCGGATTATAATTAATTCTATGGTGCAATTTTCAACTCTACGTGTATATGGAATGATATATATATATATATATATATATATATATCCTCTTCATTCGTTTATATTATCTTCATACAATATTACCTTTATATGTAACATGGAGGAGGATCTTTTTTGAATAGATACTCTTCTCGGTAAATAACAATCTCACAAAGAGAACATCATAGAAATTAGTTTGATGAATTCACTAGCACATTAAAAGGCTATCATTGCCATATTAAAATACCTTTAATGAAAATCTAAGCCATTTAGTGTGAAAAAAATTAACATATCATTATAGATTGTGGCGTGTGCTACTGATAAGATTTACCAGTAGTATATAAATAGAGGTTCATCGGCATAAAAACATCGGACAGCAGGGAGATTCGATGTCAGAGAAAGCAAATGATACAGCGTTGCCTAGATACATGGGGAACGTGAAAAGAACACAAAGAAACACAATATGAAGGCGAGAAGTGGTACAACACGGAAGATCTGTACAGATGGTGCGTTGAAGATCAGGTGTACATAATTCGGCCATATAGAGATACTAAGTTTTTCCTCTCCTACCGTTTCAATATGACGGATGTGTGTTGCGTACATAGAATTAGAATTGTTATGGTATTATATTTGTGCAAGCAGCCTGCACTCATGATTTTCATTAAACCTAGTAGTTTGTCGCAAATAATCCCGCCATCAATATTCTTCTAAATTAAATAATCACTTGCGAAAATGATCGATAGGCTTTGACTAATACACTAATGGGATAGACAGATATGCTAGTAGTCATCAGGTTATTATTATTCCCTCGCGTTCCGAGTGGAACATAGGGCTTCAAAAACACATCTTCACTTTATTCTGTTTTCTGCTGTCCTCTTCAACTGGGTCTACGGTTGACCATACTCTCTCATCTCTTCTTCCTCCATATCACCCTAAGACGACCCACTCGTCACTTCCCATTTGGATTCCGATCGAGCACTGAGCCTGGCGTGCGATGTCATTCAGCGGCCTCGTCAATGTATGCCCGATCCATCTCCACTTTCTCCTACATATTTGTTGAGTGATCAACTCTTGGTTGGTTTGTTCCCATAGTTTCTTGTTGTTTATTCTTTCTGGTCATTTGACCTTCAGTATGGAACGAAGGCAGCTGTTGGTGAAAGTCTGCAACCTGTTGGAAATCCTTTTCGTTATTTTAATTTGTGAACTGAGGTAAAGACACTAGAAGATTTGGACTCTTAGGATGATGTATGTTTGTGTTACACAAATTCGACAATTTAAAGGTGAAGACCAACAAGTTGCCAGAACTGGCAGTGCAGACAAAACTTTATGTGAACATAGAGAAGACAGGTTATAAAGACACCTAACCAATAACAAGCATGAATTACCATCAATGAGAGATCTCTGAAGGAAGTCACCTCTTTCATCTATCTAGGTGGTGTCGTTTCAAACACACGCGTCGGCACAGATGAAGATATCAAGGACAGAATCGAAAAAGCAAGACACACCTTCATTACTCTGATATTACATTGTGGAAATTTCCTGCACTCAGCGCGAGGAATGACATGTGAATTAACAATATTAATGCCCAATGAGTGATTCTACATGGTTCAGAGAATTGGAGCGTCATATTTTTATCAATGGTTACCTGTCGTTATTGGATATCAGATGGCCAGAAAGTGTATAAACAACATGGGTCTGTGGCAACGAACCAACCAAGAACCTACTACCCCACCAATAAGTAGGAGAAAAATGGAGTGATATCACGCGCCAGGCATACCCTCGAGTGAAACTCGGATGGCAAAAGACGATTCGGGCCTCCAAGAGTGACTTGTTATGGAGATCGTGTGTAGTTGAGGTAAGAGCTTATATAGGCGATTGTGGAGCCAGTTAGAAAAGACTGTAGGGAACGGAGTGAAATGGCGATGTTTTGCCGTATTTTCCACACTAAATTGGAGAGAAAAATTATTATTATTAATTAACACAGTTAATCGTAGGAGAACCATGAAACCATGAAAAAAAGGGAAACTCTTGGCATTTAAAAATGACGTCGACGAATGAAAAGAAAGTAAAAGACGTCTTCTTAGTCAAGATATTAATAAAGGAGATTACATTGTCATAAACACTACAACACCATACACCATTACATGAAATACAAGTTTATAATATATTATGTGTAGAAGTATGTATGCGCGTATAATAGTCATTGTAAATAAAAGTATTAATGATAAGTAGGAAGTAAAAAATATCTTCAGGATTGACTGGTAAGTAAACTTTAACCCCCCGCAAAAAAAAACACAACAACAAATGATAAAACAACAGGCATTTATTTAAGTAAATGTGAATGTAGAATCTGTTGATCTTCTCTAGTCATGCAAACTTTTGTTGGATTCATTTTACAATCATCTCCACCAGGGAATACTAAACGAGAACGTAGCGGAAGATTTTCCTTATTTTCAGCATTAAATAGACGTTTTAATTTTACTGATGGGAAGGATGTAAAATCGGCTTGAATTGATGCACCTGGAATTTCTGTCTTGATAGCTTCAACTGCACGCTGTTGTAACTAAACGTGTAGAAAATATAAAACAGCCGAAAGAAAAGAATTAGGATAGGGGGAAAAAGATTCTATCATTTAGAAAGAAATAAAAATAATTTGTTCAATGTGTTCATTGTTAAGTGATGAATAATCAAACAAACAAAAAATTCAAGGTATTCATGAGAGGAAAATGTTGGAAACAACTATTATGTCATAAATATACAGATCATAGATGCTACAGGTGTTCTGAAACAAACTGAGAGTCTAGTCCACACTCCTTCCCCTACCTTGGCTATAATTACATGCTCAATTAAGTGCCCATAAATCGCAAACGAAATATGAGAACATCTCTTCTAACTTGGATTCGAGGAATCTTTAACTCGGTGTCGGTAGATGAAGAGACCACATTCTAGAGGGAAACAGTAATTGAAAATGGATATCCCCTTCCCCCTCCGGCCACCAGTGCTTTATAGATAAACACAACAAAGAAAACCCCATCTCTGTGCCGAATAAGATGTAATAATATATAAACGTAGCGTTCAAAAGGCGACCTTTTAACTGACACTTTAAAGAAAAGAATATCAAATGCGCTAAAAAGAAGATTCTACATTAAAATTGGTATTCTCTTGTTGTTCTATGTTCTCCAATAACTTTAAAGATAAGTTATCGCATTCGACCACCTCTCGGTGTATTTACCAATTCACTTGCTTCAGTGGAGCGAAATATATGGATCATTCAATGCGTGTTTAATCTAAAAGAGTCAAAGGACATTGTCCCGCTTGGTTACAGAAGCGTCACAATGAATCAATAAGGAGTGCTATAAATGAATATATATTCAACACTGGTCACTCAATATGTAAGGAGGATTCATTCAAAGTTATGTATACAGTCAAAAGAAGCCTGCCTCCCTTGAAAACGGTATGCTTCCGCATACTTTGCATTGCAAAGGTCGTAGTGGTTCAGATGAAAAATCCTTAGTTGTGTACACAGAAGAAGCTTCTTCATCCCTTCCTTCTACCTTAGATATCATTCCAAGTTCAACTGTTATCAGTATTTCGTCAATATTATTTGTGCATTTTTTCGTATACTATTTATTGACATCACTTTTTGATTTAACCTTTTGTTCACTCTCTTCACCTAATCATCACCTGATTTGTTTTGATGCCTATCTCTATGCTCTGTTCATTAACATCCAGTTTTTCTGAACGTTTTCTTTTCAACATTACGCAACCTTAATCTCCGCAATCTTAGTTACAATTTATTTAATAGGCATTTGTTGTTTTGAAATATTTCGATCATGTAAGCAATATTCCAAACTGGTGTATTTCTTTTCCTTCACGTTCCCCAGTGGAACACAGAGCTTCAAGCTAGTGGTTTGAAGTTTCTGTAGCAGTGTATATTATTTTACAGGATGGGGTTGCTAGCCTCATGCCCAACCTTTCCTCTTCACCAGCATTATTTCTGGCTTAGCGAGGTAGAGGAGTGCGTCGGCCGGACCATGTGCATGGTCGGTGAGCGTCCTAACCGCTATGCCACCGATGCACAAACTGGTGTATTGTTCAAGTGTAATTATGGATTGATATCAGTTAGGGAACCAATGAAAACCAAGAAACACTGGGCATCTGTTTCTCTCTAGTTTGGGATTCTTCAGCAGTACGCGCTCATGACCCCTGACTGACTGGTTTCAACGTAGAACTTTGCACCGATGTGGAGCAGTTCGAGTCACCACACTTCACTCAGCACACAAAGCCAGAGAAGAAAGTAAAAAAGAAAAGCAAAATAGAAACAGTAAACAGAGATATGAGGCAAAAAGAATAGTAATATCGAAGAACAAAATAGTTTTATTGGAAATTATAAGTCACAAGGAGTGATGAAGCAATGTTTTGGTTCGACCACCACTAGCTCCTTTCCAACCTGACCCAATGTCAGCTAACATGGCCCTTCGAGGAAGGCGATGACTAGACATGCTCATGACCCCACCGCAGATGGTCATGTTTGATAAAGTGAATATATATGTGTATATGTTTGTAATCACCGAACCTAACTACCAACAACAGAGAGAACCCTAGAGTGAATGCTTTCATTCCACTGAAGTCTTACCTCCAGGGAATCTATTCTTATCAGATGCATAACTTACTACTACCACTTCTTGTACCGTCAGCCATAGTGTGGTATTTTTACTATGCCAGGCAGGTAGCTTTACAATTAACCAATTAACTTCTTTTAAATGTTATCACCGCATAGCTATTGCATCACTGCAATATATTAGTTCAATTATACACTATCCAGCTTACTACTACTAAGAATTAATGGAATAAAGACACCTGAATTAAAAGTCAAAAGTTTATAATGGAAGCGTTAAAGCTTTAGGAGATTTTCAAACCAGCATGAATCACAAGTGCGTAAGTAATTTTACATCATTTTTAGCCCCCACACAGTTGGTATAGCACTAGAATATGTGAAGCGATAAACCAATGATACGCTTTCTTCCAAACAACTTATTTTCGATTCATTATGTTTTCTCAGTGGTGATTAGCTAACAGTTGAATTTTCAAGTGTTAGTTAATCGGAATTCGGTTAGCTTCAAGTTCGATCGGAGATTCATATTAATTAGGATAACCATTGGGAAGACTCCTGAAATCTAGGACGAAACGGCTAAAAAACAGTGTTCCCTGGCTTTCAATGGTTCTCTCTAACTGATATCAATCCGTGATCAAATTTAAAAGTGCTTTAATTATTGCAAGTTCCACTTCCTTTTATTAACCAGATGTGTGTTGCTGGAACTATGATTAATATTCTACGGTCATACAAAAAAAAGTGAAACAAAGAAATCAATACCTTTTCTAAATCATTTTTCAATTTCACTAATTGTGCAGTCTGTCTATTGAATTGCATTGTAGGCGTAGGCACGATGGCTTTAGCCGACTGTTGTTGCTGCTGTTGTTGTTGTGTGGATCCATCACCAGCGCCTGAAGGAGGCTCTTCAATTGGTTTCGACGGCTTAGGCAATCGAACTATTTGAAGATTAGCTATAACAGAAAACATTTCTTTTCGAAGTGCATCAGCCTCACGTGCCACCTGTGATATCATAGGCTTTTGTTCTTTTTCTACTTCATCTTCTTTTTCTTCTGTAGTGGATGATGGTTGAGATTCATTATTCGCGGTATTATTATCAACAGCTTTGAGATATTGACGACGTATTGGTTTTGGCAAAGTTCCAAGACTTTTCATTTGATTCTGGTTTAAAAAACACGTGAGAAAAAGGGGACCGTTAAACTAACTGTTTACAAAATTACTATCATTTGGAATATCTGACCTCCATAGTTAAAAAAATGATGACCATATATTTATGGAGTCAGTAACTTGTCGCAGATTGATTTAAGAGGCAGCAAACGCGTAAGTAATCTGAAGGTAGTTGGTTCGAACTCCTACAGGAGAAATATTCTCCGTCAGTTTCAATCGTGGTCATAAAGCAGCTTACTTATGTGGTAAGCTTGTGGAGATAAAAATAAATACTACCGACTCTATCATTCAAACGTAGTTAAAATTACTTATTTTGAGGCCTTTATTACCAATGATAATAAAAAGCTGACAGTAAACTGTAACTGCTGCCGTTATTCGTGGGAAGCGAGAAGACAGGCATACACTGGATCAACAATAAAACTCTAGAATGTCTGGACCAAGTTTACGATTTGTGTTCAATGTCACACAGACTCGAAGATGAAGAAGCAAAAAGCAACAAGTTGACAGAAGAGGCAGCAAATGCAAGACTTCAAATGGATATAGAATAGACAACAACACAAATTGGAGGAATGTAAAGGAGGTCACCTTTTTCACCTATATAAGCGGCACAGATGAGCATGTCAAAAGGAGCCAAGATCGGAAAAGCAGGACGTCTTCATTGCTTTGATATCAGTCTAGAAATCCATTGCACTAAGCAAGAGGAAAAAAATCAGAATTTTCAGAACTAATGTCAGATTGGTCAGTGCTTCTGTGTGGTTCAGAAACTTGGCGCGAGTGTCATCAATAGCACTTTCAACAGGCTACTTCAAAATTTTATCAACAGCTCGATACTGAAGATCACAGAGGCAGGAATGACAAGCAACAAGGAACTCTAGAAGATAGCGAAAACAAACAAGAAACTTATACCCAAATAATATGCGGAAGGAAGAGGGGATGGATCTTTTGGTGATATCACGTACCAGATTCTTGAGTAGAACCCAAACGGGAAACGAAAAGTTGGGTGTCTATTGGTAAAATGGAGGAGATAGTGTGAAGAGAGTATTTGAAAGCTTATGAGGCAATAGTGGAATCAGCTAAAAGGGACTATAAAGCGAACACAATGAAATGCAGAATTGCCAACTACAAGAATTCAAATACTTTATCGAAAAAACGGAAAAGTTAAATTAATTTTCGTCTGAAGTTCAGAGTATGAATCAGTAGTTAGCTCAATGAATGAAAAGGTTTCAAACACTATAAGAAAAGGTTAAAAGTAAACCCCCTGCTCATGCACAACACCTAACCTAATAGAATATGAAGAAAATATGGGAAAACAGTTCTTTCAAATAAAAGAACTCAGAGACTCGAATGTATAAAGGATTAGCATAGAAAGCACTAGCGGAGGGAAATGTCATTCCTTGGAATAACAGTAATAAAAACTTTGAGTGAAGGTCAATTCTTTTTTTGACTCGATGTATATTGAATAACAGCATGCTTTTCAATCTGGCTTCAATTATTAAGAAAATTAATAGGGTTAAGAGACAAGAAGAGACATGTATCATGAGTTACTGTTCCTTCCGTGATTTGTGAACTAGACATTTGACCCTTACCTCAGATTAAAGGTCACAACACTGGATCCAGTGAAAGTATGACCTTAACATCTTAAACTAGAAACTTATCGATTGTTTGAAGTAACTGTACAGTATACTTTATATTTCCAGTGTCATGACCATTTTCGTTGGGCAATAAAATGTCGCCTTCTCAGTCAGCATAGTATTCGAGTGATAACTGGTATATTGTTGTGTGTCGAAGTCACAGCAAGTATTATCATGGATACAACAAATAAGAATACGTTTAGTTTGTCGAATTCGCTTATACTAAGATAATTTATCCATTTTAAGGCTTGTGATTGGTAATGGAAACTATGAATGCTCTGCCGCGCTGATGACTCGTTAGTAGGACGTAACTAAGCTGTAACAAATGGAAGTGACCCTCATCGGAATATGATACTGACATCTATGGTATGAAACACAAAATGTTTCTAAACTTCAACTATTTACTCATGATTAGCAGTGAAAGTCTATGAAGTCTTTGACAGCTGGTTTGAGCCGACCACTTAGAAAGGTGCAGACTGTCTGTTTGGATGGAGACTACTGGTAATATAGTTCAAAATCGTTCTCACTAATGTAAATGCATTCACTCTTTATCATCTCCCATATCTATTAAACGCTCATACATTTCCATGTTGCCATTCTTTTTCTTTTCTGTGTATTTTTAACTCTTGTGAATTTCTTTCTTCTCTCTTTTCTCAACTTTTGTGTGCTGTGCATGGAGTGTGGCAACTTGAAGTACTGTACATTTGTGCAAAAGTCTATGTTAAAATTCAATCAGTCAGAAAAATCGACGTTGCTTATAGGTTGAAGATAGTCGAACGATCTATTTGAGTGGAGTCTATAACAGGTAATTACAAATATGAGGAAATCATAATTTTACTCTCATTCAGCTAAACACATTGAACACTAAATATCTAACAAATTTAAATTCGGATGGGGGATTTCATCATGAGCTGACATCAGTTAGAGAATCATTGGGAAACCTGCAGGGAGTACTGAAAAAGCCGTTTTGTCCTGGTTTAGGACTCTTCAGAAGTACGCACTCACCGGGGTTCGAACCCGGTGACAACTGACCTTATAAAAGATGTTTATTAAATACAACAGAGTCGATGAATTCGTCCATTTATTATGTCCAAAACGTGTGCGATTTCAGTTACAGAAAATTTCCCACCACATGAAAATGAAGTGCCACAGTGGCTGAGGGGTAGGATGCTTGCCGACTATGCATGTGGTCCGGCTTCAATACACAGACGACGCACTCATAAACCTCATTTAGCCGGTAGTAAGCTCGATAAAGTGGGAGGGTTGGGTGTTCGGCTAGCCACTCTGTTTTGTAAAAACAACGCTACTGCTCCTGAAACTTCAAAGCTCATGCTTGAAACTGTAGGTTCCACTGGGAGCACAAACGAATGAGGAAAACAACACGAAAATCATCAGCTCAAGAGTATTTCAATAAGAATAAAGAGCTTCAGTTATCGTGAGGTAGGTGACTACCAGAGATTTCTCCGTAACTTTTATAAACTCCACAACTTTGAGGGCATCTGTGTATATTTCACAGAGGAGTATTAATGTACTACACATAGTTTATTATTTATCCGTTAGAAGAAAAACAAAATTTAATAAACTCACAAACATCTTTTCACCACGTAGCTTAGATACCTCAGAAGACAAACGTCGGACAGCTTCGCGAAGGGCTTGAATCTATGTTAAATAAAAAAAACATTGAAACAAAAAATAAAGTCAGTCATTAAAAAGATTTAAGTCTTTATGCATTTCGAAGAACATTCCAAAGGATCTGTACGCCAAAAAAGGCACATTACAATGCTCGCGAGACACACGAGAATATCAACGTCCAAATCCCGGGTCAACGCCCCTTTAAAACCTCACCTAGTTGTTTACCAGGTGGTAGCTATGTCATACAATAGTGGAGATTGGACATAAGGCTACAAACCCACTACTGATTCTCTAAAAGTTTGAAACCCTAACTTATGAAAAAGAAAAGTTCCAGATTGTGGCAGGATTCAAAGCAATTGCCTCCGGACTATCAATTCAGATATATATTAGCTGAACTAACCTACTTAACTGCGTTATTTTACTAAAACCGTTAAGAGTGATATCTAGTTGTCACGTGAATGCGTTATGCCTTACTGTCAGTCGTACCTTTGACTTGAAGACAGATCAACAAGGCAGTGGGGCAGCCTAAGGAGCTACACTCCCATGGTTTCCGGTGACCAAAACAATTTCACACGCTATTCAATCCATTCCGATTCTGGAGCCCATCTACACCATAGGTTTGGAATCAGAGTTTTCCAGCTACCTTAGGTAGCCTAACATGCCCCACCAATGTATCTTCAAGTGCCAAACGTTCACATTTGCCCTATAACTTTTGTGAGGAACAACCTCGTAGAGTGTAGGACTATATTCAGAGCTCAAATACGAAACTACTGAAGGAGATTCATATATGATCCCATACGTACACATAAATACTGATATGGGGAGATTAAAGATTTCTCAAAACAGTTCAATGTGCTACAATTTATATATCATTACATAGATGCAGATTGATAAGAAGTGGCGAAAATTGAAATCAACATTTTAGGTTGATAACTGAAGGGAGTAGAAGTGTTTATTCTTCAAATCTGGATTCAGTTAACATTGGGGTCTGGAAATAATCTCACCAGACAACTTTTCATCACTTTACTTAACCTTCAGCCAATCAACATTCTCAGAGCAGTTGTTTATTTATTGTCCACTAACCTAACCGACTTCCAATGTGGTTAAAAATGCATAAATATGATGCTTTTTTCTGGAATAAAAAATCCCGTTACCACTTCTCTCTTATCATTCTGGCGTTACATATTTTCTTTAACTAGATGACTTTTCAACTGCGTGATGGTCTGAATTATATAGATATATAAAAATACATATAGAGTAATCAGATGGTAGGTGAACACATAATTTAGGAAGTTTTTCCCTCCTACCACTTTCTGCATTCACGTAAATTATAAGTAGTTAGTGGACCCACACAAAAAACTTTGATGATCTGGACTTCGCCGATGATATATGTCTGATTTCTCACAAACTGGAAGATATGCAAGTGAAAAGCAACAAGTTAGCAGAAGAAGCATCCAGAGAAAACAGGACTTCAGGTGAACACAGAGAAAACAGAGGTAATGAAGATTCCTGGCCAACAGACACAACCACAGCAACAACAACAGACAACAATCAGCATAAATGGAAGGAACCTGAAAGAAACAAACTCCTTTACCTACGAACATGGGAAGCATCGTTTCAACTACAGGCAGACTCGACTGACGAGGATATCAAAGCAAGAATCGGAAAAGCAAGACCTTTCATTACTCTCAAGTCTGTGTGGACGTCAACAGCACTCAGCATGAAAATGAAAATAAGATGTGGATTTTCAACTCCAATGTGAAGTCAGTGCTACTATACGGATCAGAGACTTGGCGCATCATGTAGAGCACTTCAAACAAACTACAGACCTTCATCAACAGCTGTCTTCGCTCAATACTACTCAATATCAGGTGGCCGGCCAGAAAAGATCAGCAACAGGAATCTCTGGGAGCGAAGCAACCAGAAACAGATTGTGCAACATATAAGCAGGAAGAAATGGAGGTGGATTGGTCATACTCTGAGGAAACCATCAATTAACATTACACGACAGGCCATCGCTCGAGTTCAACCCGAACGGGAAGCGGAGAGTTGATCGTCAGTGTGGGGGTGACATGGAGGAGGTTGTGTGAAGAGAAGATGAAATTATGTCGGCAGACATGGAGCCAGGTGAAAACGTTGGCAGAGAACCGAACGGAATGGGGACGTGCGGCTGAGGCCCCTATGTTCCTCTTGGAACTAAAGGAAACAATAATAATAATGGGTAGTTAGTACGTAATCTTTTGATAAATTTCCTCTAATTGTAATTACGCTATCAATCAGTGTATATTCATTCTCAACTGAATATATTCAGACGATAACATATTGTAACACAATAATCCAGTCACTAAATCAATCATCTAACATAATTAATCAATCGTCAAACACTTTATTATTTCCAACTGCATTAGTTGTAAAACGATTATAATGTAACTACGAAGTGGTATTTATCTAAGTTCATATGTTAACTTCTAGCATGGACACTTCAGCAATGCCTTGAAATGAATACAACATTACTTGGTCGATTGTAGTTTGCAGTGTGGAGTAGTCGGTGGATGCACGTTTCCCCTGCTTGGTACACATCAATTGGATTTATCCGTGAGCAAATGATACCTGTTGCACATGAGGTGGATCTCTTAACGTGGTGGTCTAGTAGGTAATATTTTGAGAAAATAGGTGATGGGTTTGAGTCACAGTGAATGCACTACCAGACTGTGGATGCATGAACATCAAACTGACGAGTCCCAATTGGAAGGAGGTGAGCGTACCGAATACTTACTGCTAGTCAGCACTAACATAAAAACCCAGGAAATGGCATCATTTTGCAATATGTTTCTTATCAATAGGAAAGTATGTGAATATTTTCTAACACTTGGTACTTAGTGTTCCATGTTTTGAGGGTCTGTAGCTTGTTCCTGCCTTTATTTCGACTTATATCTGTAACATAGCCAATTCATGTAATCGTATCCTATGCTGTAATATGACTTCAGACACTATATATAATGTGTATCAGTAAAATATTAATTCATCTGTGATATTGTAATACAGTTTTGTCACTTATCCACACAAATATTATTTTTTATTTATTAAAACATTAACTAGGTACGTGGTGAGCCTTGAGGGACGTGCCACACTAATTCGCGTAGTCTTTGCAAGGATTTGGGTACTGCCTGAACGCCTAGATCGAAGCAAGTGATTGGCCTTAAGGGACCACCACTTCCGAGCCTTTGAAAGAAAGACTGATACACAAGGCAGTGAGTGAAGCAAGGTCAGGAGTTGTGATCCGATGGCTTCCAGAGACCAAAAGGAGGTTCACACGCCATTTGATCCGCTTGGATTGTGGAGGCCATGTACACCAGATGTTTGGAATCGAGGTTTCCCAGCTCCCCTAGGTAAACCAACACATTCACCAGTCCAGATGTAAGCAACAGATCTTTAGTGACGTTAGCTACTGACAAGATATACAAGTAGTATATAGATACAGATACAAATATAATAGTAATAATCTGCTTTATTCCAAAAATATGTATATCACCTGCAATTAGAGAGAACAATCCTAGTCTTTGCATACGAAAGAGGTTTGTTCTACCTTTGTCTCTCCCTTAGCCTAGGTAAATATGCTAATCAAAACCCTTTCACCCTCTCTTATTTTCCATTTCCTTCTTAGTTTTATGATATTTATTTTGAACTCTGATTATCTGTCCGTTGCAGCTTCAGTATTACGTAACTTCTGAGATTTGACCTAAATTATTTATTGAATCGTTTAAATATACACATATTGCTACCTTCGTTAATCTTATCACCACGTGCATAAATCTTATTATCATTATAATCATCGTTATTACTGACCTTCAGGACATTTAACACGTTATTATTGCTATTTGATCCATAAACTCACCGTCATTTGTTAACAATTTTGTGTATAAATCTAAATAAATTAGAGTAAAGCCTGAAGAAGATCTAAAGTGAAAACAATATAGTTCGCTTATATGTCTTGTTCTAATGTTAATAATGGGATTATTTAAAATTGTTTTCGGTTTAACTCCATTATAGATAAGATTTTATTTTGATAAATCACACAGTGTTGTACAGTAATATTAACTAATGACGTTTCGAGCACAAACTATTGCTCATAATCATCATATCAAGTCATTCACACAACTTTTTACTTCATTTATATACATGAGTGGAATTGATTAGATATTTGAATAAAAAACCAGTCTGGATAATGTACATTCAGGAATAATAATAATAATATGAGTGTTATCGATCAACTACAGTCAGGCAGGAAATAAGACGAGTGTTTTTATAGTCAAAATAAGTAACTTGTTAGAATGTTATGATATCCGTGAATTGAAATAGAATTTTAAGACTATTTATTATCCTCCTTTGATTTGACTGCTAGTAAACTTGAAAATAGGTGAGTAAAATTACTGTCATTTGTGAACTAGACATCTACACTCACTAAATCAAATTCGCGATTTGCAATTTACACAGTTCCCTTTGCAAATTATTTAGATCACAATATATGTTATACTTGATATCATGAATGGTAATCAAGAAGGCACATCGGTAGAATGCTCGCCGACCACGCATGTGGTCCGGGGTTCGATCCCCGGCCAATGCACTTCTTTACCTCCCTAAACCAGTAATAAAACTGGTACAGAGGGAAGGTTGGGCATGAGTCTAGCAACGTCATCCCGTAAAAATAAACACCACTGCTACAGAAACTTCAAGCTTCTAGCTTGAAGGCCTATGTTCCACTGGAAACATAAAGAAATAAAAAAAATCAAGGAAGCAAACATAAATGCAAGAAGCTATATGCTACTGATTCATTGGGACGAATAGGTGTATACCACTCACATCAACCAGAAGTGATTGTTAGCTATATCAACGTAGTCTAAACACTGGACGGCCGTTTCTTTCGTCTAGGGTCAAACTCATCAGCGATGTTACTAAGTATGACTTAGCTTACAAGGGGGTGAGACAGTTGAAACCACTCGACTTTTAATAAGTTAAATATGCGAACTAGTAATATCCACTACAAAAATGACTTTTCTGAGATATTTTGACATAAGGGATTACAAACGTCTGTTTATTAGGAAACAAAATGTGAAAACTAACCTCCATTGACATGAATGAAGCATCTCTGTAGGCAGCTAGACGTGCAGGACCAGGTGAAGGTGATGCACCCTCAACAGAAGTTTGTTTACCAACTGAAGGAGTCTCAGGTGTAGCAGCCTGACCCTTAGATGGAGTTTGACCTTATACAAGGGGAAAATTAAAGTAACATACGTTTATCACTTAATATAAAGCAAATAAGTATGAATCTTGCGTAAATGATCACATATTCTCTGATGATTTAATTCAAACTGCTAATTATCTTACCAATAATAATGATAACAATAATAATACATTATTATGACTGTTATTATTCCCGTGAGTTCCGACCAGAACATAGAGTTTCAACAGCACACTTCAATTTCACTCTCTTCTCTGCAGTTTTTCAGGTGGTCTCACTATTAGCGATAAGCTTTCACAAGATTTCCAACATGACACCTTCAGATCCACATGCAACTAGTCATTCTCTTATTCAGCTTCCTCTCGAGTATCCGGTGCATAAAACATATTTTGGTGAACTGGACGATCCAGCTCAGAGAACATAAACTACACCGAAATTACCCACCTGAACTACAAATTTTCACCATTGTATCTACAATCATACATATCCCAAGGTAAATTCAAGTGAGGATAATCAGTGACTAGGGAGAACTGACATACTGGTAAGGAAATTAAACTGTCTCATAAATCAGTGTTTAGTACGTCTGACAGCTGTCCTTCTACCAATCAAGGTTTGAGTAGTCGGCTGGTATAAATAATCTGTCTACATGCGATATTATTTGTTGTTTTTCATCATTTCTACTAATAAAAGTAGGGCAGAATCGACAGACTCCTTAAATGCCATTTCATCCATTGATAAATAATTTTTAATACTCTACGATGCATGAACCGGCTTACAAGTGCTATTAATTTCATGATATTTGTTGTATCATACAACTCTTTCCTACATAAACTGTCTATTAATATTATCAGTTAGAAAAAAGGTGAATATATATGAGAAGCCTATCTGTTGTCCAGTATTTTGGAAAGTATTAAACCAGTAGTGTAGTTGGGTTACGCCATTATTGCAAAAGGTTTGGAAGGAAGGAGATGTGCCTACCGATTGGAAGAAAGCCTACCTTACCTTGTCAAGCTACCAATGAAGGGTGACCTACGCCTCAGCAAGGACTGGTGTAAACTACCAAGTGGTGTCATTCTGGAGAGAATAAAAGATATACTAGATGCAGAACTTCGCCCGCCGGAGCAAGCTGAATTCAGGAAAGGTTAATCATATGCTGATTAAATTCAACCCTACACATCATCATCGAATAAAGCATAGAATGGCAGTCAAACGTGAATCTTAACTTCATCGACCTCGTAAAGGCCTTCGATAGTGTTGATCGAGAAGTAACTTGGAAACTGCCTCAACACTATGGTGTGCAGCACCAAGTCTTTATCAACCTCGTTCAACAGTCATGAATGGAACCCAAACCACATGCGTGATTGGTGATCATTCTACCATTGAAAGATCTAAGAATGTATGCAACTACAATATCTTTGAAAGTATATGCACTACACATAAGCATTAACTGAAAACAAAACTTACCAGTGACCAATGGAGTTTTAATGATTCCTTCGAATAAGGCTTTTTTACTTAAAGTTTTCAATTTCTCTTTAAGTTCTGCTTTCTCCTGCTCTAAAGCTTCAATATCTGCTTGAAGTGCATCAAGGGTTTGTTCATATTCCCTGAAAGCCAGGAAAAATGGAAGATAAAATTTAACAGCTTTGATGGTTTACACCTAAAACACATTGACAATTTCTTCCCGAGAAAAGACATAAATCACAAAAAGATTATTCATTAGGAAATAGCGCTTTTTGTTGATTAGTTCAGTTACAGTAATTTAGAGGGTAGTATCAAGTAAATTGGGCTATGAGCTCGTCTTGTGAAAAGAAGAACCTGAGCTCAAACTCCGGTATATGAATGCTGATGAACAGTCCCCCACTTAGGACAAGACAGATGTCCAGTACTCCCTGGTTTACAATAGTTCCCTAACTAATAATGTGGTGAGAGCTGTCTGCTAGCCAAAATTGGTAGGCAGCAGTTTCCGTCCCAAATAATAAGTCATGAGAAAAAAAAGAACAAAGACTAAACAAACAACCAATAACAGCAGACTTTGCGTGGGCGGATACGATTAGCAGATATATGGTGTGACCTTCAAAGAAACGGCCACAAAGAGATAACAGTATAACTTCCAGTAAGAAAACGACCAATCAGAAGACGCTGTTTCTCTGCTAATAATAACGAATAATAATGTTCATAAAAATATATAAATATCTGTTGATTTTCTCAATAAACGATCTGTTGTCTGGCCCTTATCTTCTGTCGTTACAATATCAGCTCGTGATCAAGTCCCTGGTCAATAAAATCCTTATATTAAAACAACACTTGGAAGTTAAGAATATAAATTAGGAGACAATCGGCGACATCGTGAAAAGTCTATCATACTAGCACAAATGCATGTACTGTGTATCATCAACGTAAACATTAAATAATTTGTCCACTCTCTCTTCACATGTCCATTTTTATTCATTGAAGACCAGCGCTCTTGTATTTAGCACTTCCTGTCTCCATTTGTGACAATCTGTTTGACACTGGAACAAAGATAAGATTGGTAACAGTTCGTCAAAATTCTTATCGAATAGCGAAATCCCTCATCAATTACATCGATCAGAAACAAAAATCTAATTACACCGAAAATAAGCAAACAGGGCCTACTTTTCACTTCGTTTTAATTGAGCTTCTGATTGTTCCAAGCGTTGTTCTAAACGAGCTATTTTCTCTTCATTACCTTTACCAGATGTTTCTAATTTCTTCTCTGCTAAACCAACACGTACAGACATTTCACTGAGTTCTTCAGCACGTGCTTTCAGTGCTTTTTGTAATTCTCGTACTTCTTCAGCTTTAGATTCTAATTTAGAACGACATCCTTCTAGTTCAGCTTGAGCACGTTTATAGGCAACAGCACGAGCGGAGACTGGTTCTTGAGGCTATAAACACACATAATATCAGAAAATGAAAATCAGTCCATTTTTTATCATAAGTGTAAAATACTGTAGACATTTGTAAAAAATTATATTTGTAAAATCTCAGCAAGATTGAAATGAGTAATTCCAACGTTTCCTGTGTTCGCCAATCTGGTCCGAACTTCTTCAGGGAAATTAATCGAAATTAACATAACAGAGGTTTATAAATAAAAGGAACATCACTTGTTTTTAAAAACTTTGTCCAATCATGAGTCATTCAACAAGTATAATAAACAAAATTTTATGAGCTGTGATCAAAATTTGTTAAACACTTTAAACAGAGTGTGTATGTGTGTGTGGGTAAACAGTTGTAAAACATTTCTTAACGTCTCCATAACAAAGGTAGACCAATATTTGTAAGTCCGAGGCCAAATTTTGATCACAGTTCATAAAATTTTGTTTATTATACTTGTTGAATGACTCATGACTGGACAAAGTTATTAAAAACAGGTGATGTTCCTTTTATATATAAACCTCTGTTATGTTAATTTCGATTAATTTCCCTGAAGAAGTTCGGACCAGATTGCCGAACACAGGAAACGTTGGAATTACTCATTTCAATCTCGCTGGGATTTTACAAATATAATTTTTTACAAATGTCTACTTCTCACTCAGCGCCCAAATATTTTAGAACTATTCTGTCAAATCTTGATGACAGTTCATTTAAATGTAGAATACTGTCCTAACTTAGAGGTATATGCAAAAGAATACATAGTGAAAGAACGAAATGAATTCATATTTTAGGATTAGTGTTAAATCCCTACACATCGTCAAAGCGTTCGTACTAAGAGGCGATATGTCAAAAGAGACCACACCCTTCAGGCCAACATAATCAATAAACGGGAAATGCAAAATTAACTTAAAAGCAAAAATAACAACTGATACTCGTTGCGCAAGGGGTGGCTTTCGTGACCCAGTGGATAATGCTATGGAGTTTAGAACGGTGGGTGTGGGGTTCGAGTCTGAGTATGAGCACCATCACCACTACTCAGTAGGGATGCAGGTACTTCCACCCGGCAAGTCCGAAATGAAACGAAAGTGCACATCGTGGATTCTAATGCTAGACACCATCAACCAAAATAATTACTAGTCATATCCTCAGCAAGTTAACCGACTTATTAAAGGTCGGTTACACTGTACCTATTGCATATAGCCCATAATAAAGACTGCTGTGATTAATACAGAAGGGATTCAGTTTATCTCTGTTTGGAGAGTTACAGGCATGAAAATGTTTAAAACTAGATTATGTATTATAGAAAATACACAGTCGTTAATTCAATGACGCTTTGACGATTAAATTTGACTAAAGTTTATTCTAAAATATTCGCCCAACTGAAAATACTGAGTTTTGTACTTTTAACATTTTGATTTTCGAGCCAATATAAGCTTGTTGATTTTAACAGTTGTGTAATACACTGTATGCAGTTACTATTTTCCACCTATTGCCTCGCTTCTTCCTCTACGAATATGCATCTGTATACAGGTGGGGTTTTCTGAGATTACTTTGCATCAATTGTAAAATTCATTGAATCCGTGAATTACAATCAGTTGATATTATTCTTTTAGACTATTTGCTTCTTGCACTATCCGCTCACTCCCTGTAAACAACATATTACATTACTAATGATTGATTGAGATGAATAGCTGCATACAACTCACACCAACCAGTAGTGCTTGCTAGCCAAATTAAGGGGGTCTAAACACTGGAAGTCGTTTCGGGGCGAACCCATCAGCGGTGAACCCAGTTTTACTCAGCTCGGAGAGCTCTATGGAAATCGCCTGTCTAGATTTCAAGTTAACTACAGTGTTTAGTAAGTCAATGGACATGTCACAAATCTGATCAGTAGACTTTGATAGGCACTTAAGCCTATAGAATTGCATAATCCACTCAGCTTTTCTTTACTACCAATAGAAGAAAAAACATCCAGCGAACTTACAGCGGTTTGTTTTGTTCCATCAAAGTCATATTCTCCATTCTCCATTGCTAATGCCACTTGACTGATAATACGAGCAACTTGACTTAAATTATTACGAATTGGTATATCTGGTGCAATGACACTGGAACGGGTATTGGATGCATCTGGTGTTAAATATTCTTTACAAGCTTCTGATAAACATTGAGTGAAAACAACACCGGGGTCTAAATTGGCTGTATCTTCCTAAAATTTAATTAAAATCAGAAAAAAAAGTTGACTGGTTAACCTTAAGACGACATAAAGTAAAATAAAAACGGATTTTGAAAAGGAGACAACTCAAGGTGTAACCACTTCAAACTACCTGGTCCTACAAATACTAAACAGTGAATCTGAACGTCTGGCGCCTACAACCGGACTGGTGGACTTGCTGGTCTACCTAGAGAAGCTCGAAAACCATGATTCAAGATCTACAGTGTGTGTGTAAATGGGCCCCAGAATCTGAAAGGATAAAAATGGAGTATGAACGTGTTTCGATCACTGGTAACCATGGGGATGCAGCTACACTGCCATGTGGATAAAACTTTAACTAATAGGCTCGGAGGGGGGGGGGTAACTCCTTAAAACGACCACCTGCTTCGCTCTGGGCGAACGGGCAGTATCCTAGGCGTCGTACAAACTATGAGATTTTGTGTGGCGCATTTCTTGGTGTCAACAATGTACCAAGTGTGCTTTAATAAAATGAAACAAGTTATATGTTTCTGACAAGCGATCAGCCGAGGGATGACAATAATTTAGCCAAAGAGAGTCTCCTTTATTGCTTATTTCTTATATTTCAAAGAAATTAAAGTTTAGAAATACACCTGTACAAACTCAGCAATACAGTCGACGGATGTAAAAAATAGTCATATGAGTTAGAAAATATGTAAAGAGGAAGATAATGAGGTTTACATACAATATCGATAAATTACTGAATTTGTAACGACAGAAGACAAGAGCCAGGCAACAGATTGTTTATTGAGAAAATCAACAGAGATTTATAAATTATGTGCATTATTGTTAGCAGAGAAGAAACGTCTTTTCATCGGTTGTTTTCTTACTGAAGGTTATTTTGTACTGCTTATGACCGTTTCTCAGAAAGTTAAGCCATGCATCTGCGAATCCTATTTGCACACGTTAAGTCCGATGTGATTGGTTGGTGAGTTCCTTAAGGTTAAGCTTTGTTATCGTTTTTCTCATGACCCTGATTCCAGACGTAACACTGACGTGAATTGTTGTTCACAATTTTGGCTTGTTCGCAGCCAGCTCTCACCACAAATTCAGCTTTAAACACACACTTATGAAATATGAATATCGAGCGTTTCTGACAACTGACTGACTGAATTTCAGCATAGAACTTTGCACAGAAGTGCCCCAGTTTAGGTTGCCACACTCCATGTAGCACACAAAAGTAGAGAAAAGAGACAAAGAAGGGATTCAAAGGAATTATAATGTGTAGAAACATACATCAGAGACAGAATGGTAAAAATGGAAAAACAAGAGAGTTCAGTGGATATGAGAGAGATCAAAAGAGGGAATGCATTTGCGCCAATGAGAACAGTTTTGAGCTATATTATCAGTCTTCAGTCACCGGTGGTGCTTAACATCTCAGTTAGGCATTTCAGTTTAAAATCAAAATAAGTGCTTTCATGTCTTGTGAATAACGAAATGGTTTATAAGATATGATACGTTTAACTTTATTATGAAAAAGAACATATTCACAAGTTATTCAGAAAAAACTTACAACTTGTCGAACTGTCAACTGGCCAGCTAAACGAGTTGTTTGATACATAGCGCCAACAACTGATCCTAACAATTGTATAGCTGAATCTAGTTTCTGTGAAACATCTTGATTGAATGATAACGGTTGACTTGTAGGCTTATTTGGGATTCTTCGTTTTATTCGACGCGTAACAACACGTACAGTTGTAGAAAAATGAATTAATTCAGTAAGGAGGCCAATTAAACCGCCTTCAGTAGGATTACTTAACAGTAACGAACCAACATCATCCAGATTACCCATACTCAATGGTCCAGATACACAAGTGGCAGCTGTTTTAGCCACTTGTGATAAACCATCAACATTCTGACCAGTCAATATCATCAACGCAGTTGAATCAACAGATAAGGCATCAACAGCTGATAGAATTGTTCGCGTGAAATCTAGCAGTTTATTGTTACAATTAAATAGCTGTTCTGTTTTCAAATGAACTGTATATAATTGAATAAAGTAGTTGTATGACGAAAGTAATGGTCCCAATGAAATTGTCTCGTCTAACTGATCATTCTTTGTTTGTTCAATTAATCGATCAATACAATGTTCATGTGCAATCATTTCATTATATAAAGAACCGAATTTCAAATAGAGTTCAACACTACAACCTGAAAGGACTCTATCAAGAAGGAGAATAAAGCAAAACGATAGTGTAGTAATGTTAAATTAAAAGTGTGATACCAATAGACAATAAATCTAACAGAAAGTTACAAATGATGAAAGTGCACACATAGTTTGCTATCCGGCAGTTGGAAAATATCACAGTAAAGGATCCTTTTATATTTTTGATCTTTGTGTCCCGAGTAGAACATAAGGCTTCAGGAATTAGGCTTTGAAGTTTCAGTACCGTTCGTGTTTTTACACGATGAAAAATTGTTAGCCTTAGACCCAATCTTCCTTATTTTCCGGGCTTACTATCAACTAGTGAACTGGGCAAGGTATAGGAATGCACCGGTCAGGAGTTGAACTTTGACCCCCTTAACCAATAACGCAATGAAGTAAATGCAGAACTCATAAACAAACTAATCATAATCAGAACTTTGTGAAAGGACTGAATCAATTCAGGTTACTGCAGTTCAAAACAACCGGAAGTTAACAGAAATGTGAAGATGTGGTTTATTGACTTCTCCACTTGTACTTTCGCATTCTATGGGTCGCAGGTTCTCTATCCACTTCACTTAATATGCAACCTGGGAAACTAGATGGGAGCTACCTTCAATACAGTACATTTTCCCTAAGCCTAGCAGTATTCATGGACTATTTTTTTTACGATAGACTAGAGCATTAAGCACCTCAACAATTAGCAAGAAAGTGAATCTACCATTTCTTATTAAACTTAGCAATCAGATTAACATTCACCCAGACATCAGAATCCATTTGGCGATGAAGACATATAATCTCTAAAAAGATTGTCTGCAGTGAAATATAATTCAAGTTGAAGTAGTATCTGATGATAGATGAGAGCTGTAGGATTATAATTCGAAGATGAAAGAAAACAGAAACGGGAGAGTTGAGCAGTAGCTATTCGCCGAAACAATGACATAAGGATATTATTTAAAGCCGGAGCTGCATTTATTGGTACTAACTGGGGGAGGTTTTTGGACTTGAAGAACTATCAGTTCAGCCCTGGAGAAACAACTGATCTTGATTTCAATGTATCTGACGTATCCAGTGACATAATGGACGGTTGGCTAATAGCACAGTAGTCGTAAACAGGGTCAGGAGCTTCAGAAACTGTTTTTACCACAGATGTCGTTGGGAAAATCACCACAAGAGGGTATCTAACGGCTGAAAGAAATATGAGCGACAGAGATGGACCCTGAGGGCTTGATCCATAGAATCCAACAGAAATCAAGTGAGGAGGCAAGGTATTTTATTTTATTTATTTTTATTTTGACTACAGCTTGATTCCACACCGTATTTTCAGTACAAGTATGGAATTTTCAGCATGGATATCGGTAGCCCAAATTTACAGGCTGACCATAGATATCGGGTGTGCACCGGCAGGGGATCGAACCCCGGACCATGTGCATGGTCGGCGAGAGTCCTAACCACTGTGCCATCAGCCTCGGAAGAGCTGAATGACCAACATTTCTGACCTGGTTGACGTCGCTTGCAACCTTCATATGAGGTTCGTGATGGTGTACACTGGTCCTGAATTTGTGGACCCAGCTACATGACGATTGGGTGGTGTCACAGGCGTACCGGAGGACTGTCGACAATACTGAGGACGACTGGGTTTTGAAAACCGCCTGTTGTAGTTGGATACCACTGTCAATGAGCTCGACTCCGAAGGAGCGAAATTGCCACCTGGTGTTTAGATCACTTCAATCAGGCTAACAAGCACTATTGCTTGATGTGAGTTGTATACAACTACTCATATCAATCAATCAGTAGTATACAGTCATGCATTTATGCTTCTTCTCTTGATTGCCACTTATGTTAACAAGCATATCACACCACGATCTGAATAATTTCGGTTTCCAAGGGGAACTGCAATTCAAACTTCGTAAATTGCAAATTGCGGATTCAAATTTTATATTTTTAAGATTTTTATTTATTCCTTTACGTTCCCAGTGGAACATAGGGCTACTTCAAGCTAGAGACTTGAAGTTTCGGTAGCAGTGGTATTTATTTTTACGAGATGGGATTGCTAGCCCTCCAACCTTCCCTTTTTACCAGTTTTATTACTGGTTTAGTGAGGTAAGGGAGTGCGTCGGCTGGGGATCGAACCCTAAACCATCTGCGTGGTTGGCGAGCATTCTACCGCTGTGCCACTGACTGACGCGCTTTTTAAGATTTGAACAGGGGCGATTTCACATAGGAGTAGATATGCATACTGAATGTTAAAATTGTAGAGTTGTTTTTTAATAGTTTTTATCATTTGGAAAAACGATAAAAAGTAGGACACCGGTGGTTATATCTTATATTCATTTTACTCATAATATCTTAACATTGATTAAAATTTTTTGATGTGAAATACTATATCGAATAAATAAAGGTTAATAGAAAGCTGATAATTCTGAATATTCTTATTTTGAACCTACTGCATGTTCACAGTGTAACATATTTGTGACTATATTATTCATCCCTTGGATTCCGTGTGGAACAACTTAGGACTTCAGCAGTACATCACCCAACAATTTCATAAATGTATGCGCGATCCGGCTCCTTTTTTCTTTCTGCACATCTGTTGGGCAACAATTTATTGGTTTGTTCGTTGCGAGACTTCCTTGTCACTTATCTTTGTTGACTGGCCATTCGGTCTTCAGTATAGAGCTAGAGAAGACACCTATTGACGAAAGTCTGCAGTCTATGGGGAATATTTTACGTAGTGTGCGCGCCAGGTTTCTGAACCATATAGAAGCACTGACTTGACATTAGTACTGAAAACTGGGGTTTTTTCTGTGCTGAGTGCGGTAGATTTCCACATTGTTTTCAGATTTAATGCATGACTGTCGTGATTTTCGGACTCTGACTGGCTTTGACATACCCATCCGTGACGCCTGTAGTTGAGATGATGCACAGCTGAGTGAAGGAAAAGACTTCCTTCAGGTTTCTCCCGTTGATGGTAACTGATGATTGTTGTTCACTCTATACACTTGAAATCCCGTCTTTGCTGCCAATTCTGCAAACGTGTTGGTGTTTCCTTGTAAATCGTCGAATTTGTGAGACACGAGACATAAATCACTCACGACATCCAAATCTTCCAGGGTCTTTTTGTCAGTCCAATGTATGCCTGTTTTTCTACTCCCCACAGTCTGCCGCATGACCCAACCCACTAGTTATAGTAGACAGCCTTGTCTTATTCTTGTCTTTACTTCAAAGAATTCACTGAGATTTCCGTTGTGAATCACTTGGCAGGTGGCGTGACCGTAAGGCTACTGGTTTGCTGCACTCCACCATGTTCAAGAATCTGATCGCCTCATACCTTGAAGGTTCTCGTTTCAATGCCAGGTCGGATCATGTCTACTGCTGAATAGTCGCAGGCTAAGATGAAATAAACTCGCATTACCCTTTGATTTTCAATCACTCACTCTCTCTCTCTCTCTCTGAAGTCACTTTATGGTCGAATCTAACTTGAAATCAATTAACCCTCTCATCCTAACTACAAACTACCATTAGAATATTAACAATTCGACTAAATACATTAAAAACACTTACTGTTTACACTGGCCTAACAAAGAAGACATTGACCGGAGTAGATGAATTAGTCTAGTTATAAAACTAAAGAATTCTGATTTTGTTTTAGTCAACGGTGGCAGTGGATTATTAGTACCAGGAATACAAATTCCGCTGACAACTTCAGTTGGATTGTCAGTAGTAGCAGCAGTAGTAGTACTGGTTTCACCTTGAGGCATCTGTAGCGGTGCTTGACCCGGAACACAAGGAGGCAATGGATAACGTTCAACAAGCTGAAAGTAAATCATTTAGTGTGGGATTAAATGCTATAAACATAAAACGATTGTGAATATATTTACTTTTTAGGTTAATTTGCATTTATCGTTGATTGACTATGTGTTGGATCGAAGTGCTCTGTACATGCAGCTGCCGAATCCCAAACACGACGAAATGCACATCTCGGATTCCACTACTAGTTATCATCAACCGAAGTAACTTCACGTTATTCCTAAGACATAGTCGAAGCATCCGTACTAGAAGCCGACATGTCAACAGAGAGACCCAGGATTTCAGGTCAACATAATCAATCAACGGAAAATGCAAAATTAACCTAAAAACAAAAGTAATAACTGATACCCGTTGCACAAGATGCTTGTAATGGCTTCCTGCCGATTGCTTCCAACTATTTAACGAATGTAAAGATGCTAAGATTGATTGATGGTTAAGGAAGAGGTAGAAATCAGTCTACAAGATCTGCGATAGCTGAACATCAGGTCAACACTGATCACTCAATCACGACAACTTTCCCCTCAGAAATTACACCTAAGAACTGTTAAGTTACCCATCAAAATCAGTGTATATTCACATTCTTTGCTCTCTTGATGCCCTAAATGTCGAATTACAGGAGCTGGAGCTTTGTACACAAAAAAAACTGGTTAAAACTCTGCTTTCTCTACTATCTTAGCCCTTTAGTGTTGAAATAAAATGCTTCTACTTCTCTCAAGCGATGTAATTGTGACGTAACGCAAACTGTTTCTCATTTAACGCTTATTTAGACGATAGTTCATTCTCCCAAATATTCCATCATATTTCGTATCTCATTATCTCTTAATTATCCACTCTTGATAGATTCCCACTGACTGGTTTTAACGATTTTTCACTTATTTCGCTTGTCAGTATACAATTTGAGGAGCACTTTAACTAGCCTACAGTTATACTTATTTTGTCCAGCATCCACCACCTATCTGAATGGATTGTAGACATTAGTCCTTTAACTACAGCTGAGGTTTCAAAAGCTGTCTCTAATCTGAAACGAGGAGAAGCAACGGGACCTTATAGAATTACTCCAGAAGTGTTTCAGAATAATGGCGATGAACTGTTAACTGGGTTAACTAAGGTGTTGTATAGTGTCTGGGAATAGTTTCGTTGGACTGGTGTAAATCATTGATTATTCTAGTTTATAAGGAAGGAAACACGTCCGCCTGTAAGAACAATCATAGGGCTGGGCTTGACTAGCATAGTACCAATAATCACGCGTCAACTAAGCGGTACTTGGTAGGAAAACAAGTGAGGCCTTAGGCCCAGACGAGAGTGTTTGGATCGTATTTTTATCCTTCGACAGATTCTGAAATATAGGCATACTTACTGGTGTCCAACAATTCTTACATTTCTTAACCAAAAGGCGGTATTTGACTCCATCAACCAAAAGGTACTGTATCAATATTTCGTCGTGAACAGAGTGCCGAAAAAGTATATCACACTAACCAAGACACTCTACTCGAACTCACACGGCTGTGTTAGACCCTATGGAGAGTTATCATGTGAAGTGATGACCATCAAAAGTGTCCGTCCGGTACGCTCATTGTCCTCATTTTCGTCCACTTTCATTATAGTAATAGGTGGGATATACAACTATCGATTAAAGGACATATGTACGGCGCAGCAGTTCGTCCTGTTTATGTTGTTGAAAGTGAGAGATATGAAGAGGTTAGTTGTCACTGACCATAGGTGTATGCTTCCCATCTCTCGTGTTAAGTGGTATAATATGGTGGGTAATAGTGAAGCTAGGTGAGAAGAGAAAGTCTGTCAATGAAATTGTGAAGCTAAACTGATCGAGATGGATAGGATATGTGTCACACATGCCAAGCCACTACCTCCTTGGTTGAGCAATGTTAACAGACACAGGACTAGGTTGGAAAAGAGTTAGGGGTAGTCAAATGGACTAGTCGGCTGGGATCTCGAGACACTAAGAACTATTGCTTGAAACTTTTAGTAATAAGGCTCAAAATTGTTAGTACATTTGCACTAATTTGTTAAATATTAATAAGAAAGCATCACACAAATCTATGGTATCTCATTAACTATAAACATTCATTTGTTTAGAGCAAAGTAAATTAGAGAGTTAGGTCCCCCAATCTGAATATCAGTAACGCATTGTACACATGAAAAGTGGTTCAATTCGTGACCACGTATATTATTATTACGACGTATAATTTATTATATACAGTAAAGTATCACAACTTGAAAGAATGAGATTAAACTTACATGATTAGCCAGCAGATCGCATTTCCCAGCTAGTCGATCGATTAACAAAAGTGAAAGTAATGCCTCATTATCACCACCACGTCGGAGAAATGAGTCAGGTAAGAAAGCAGATAACCGCGTCACATGATTTGCAGTTTGTTCTGCTTCAAGGCGTCTTAATTCAGCTTCAATTACCTTTTTTTCAATATAATATAAGACAGTAAAATACAATATGATAACATAAATTCAAATAGCAAGTAGAATACACAAGAGTTCATCATGAATGATTGAAATTAAAACATAAATATCACTTAGAACTTGAAATACTGATCAATCCAACCCAACTCAACGTTACTCAACAGTCATTTGCAATTTCATATAGTTGGGGATGATCTACACATATTTTGTGAGGGTTGGCTATACTGTCCCAGGCTGTGTAAACTTCAATGCTTGGAGTGCAGTTCGAACGTGTGACCAACGCATTGAAAGTCGGGCACAGAGACCAATGAGCCGCAACTTCTAAAAACTCTAATATTAATAGTATTATATATTCCTTGAGTTCTGACTGAAACATAGGGATTCGACAGCCTTGGACCTAGGTTTCGTGATTCTTGGCACTCGTCAGGAAGGCATATCTGCAGCCCTGAAGGAACTCGTATCCCTTCTGAGATTCGAACCCGCGTCACCCAGTGCTGCACTCAGAGACGTTACCACTGAGCTATTCAGGCTCGGGACTGACCTCCTGTAGGACTGTAATGGATATTTTTGATTTGGCGGCCTGTTTGAACATTTTGGGCTACCATATTCCATGTACATTTTGCATCTATTTACTCATATTTTGTTGGTGTTTACATTTAAAATTATGCATTCTAATCGTATCATTCACTCTCGGGATTATATAAAATGCTTAAAACCTAAAAACTTTCATATTTGCAATAAACTCAAGAAAAAGCACCATGGTGGTTGGCAACGTGCTTTAAAATCTACACCCATACATCAAACTACTGTTCCGGTTATCGTTAGTACGAACTGTCGGTCACTGCCTAACAAAACTCTGGATTTTCAGTCCCTGTTGTTGTCCGAAACTTATCATAATACTGGTATTGTAACTCTACAAGAAACCTGGCTTCATGACTCATATGATGACAATATAGTATCTTTAAATGATTTTAATGTATTCCGACAAGACCGTGTTTGTTCCAAGAAAAAATGCGGTGGTGGAGTAGCTACATTTATTCACTCAAAATGGTCTATTTCTAACAATGTTTGTTTCAAATTCTCGAATGACTACATTGATTGCATCACTGTCAGATGTCGCCCGAGACACTTGTCAAAATACAAATTCATTTATATTTCTAATGTTTATGTCTCTCCTGGCTGTACCATATCGGATTTATCTATGTTCGCAGATGAATTCACCGCTTTTGCTGCAGCTTGTTTCGAGAACTCTTTATCAATAGTGACCGGTGATTTTAACTCTTGTGATCACTCCTTCCTTATATCACTTGGCCATGACAATATTGTTAACTTTGCTACCCGTCTCGAAAAAACACTAGATCTAGTATTCATCAATGATGTTGGTATATATGAAGCTCGCAAACGTGCTCCTGTATTGAACTCTGACCACTGCATCATACGTGTACTGCCTAAAATATATTCCAAATCACACAAACGTGTCTTCTCTCACCTCTACAGTAAATTTCAACGGAGATGCTACTCACAAGATAATCTAAGCAAACTCAGATGCATGTTGATAGATACTAACTGGGACCTATTTACAGAACAAACATTAAATGACACAATCACAAACACCACAGATTATCTTAAATTCTGTTTGGAAATATGTTGTCCTAAAGAAACATTATTCACTCGTTTTGACCGTTTCTCTTCTCCATATCTCAAAAAGCTCCGTAGAGATAAAGAACTGTTGTTCAAAACAAATGATAAGTCAGGTGTAAAAAAGCTAAATCCTCTGATAAAACTCGAAATGCACAGACTAAATGTTTTATACAACCAAAGATTTTTGTCATGTAAAACCCCTTCTAGTTTATGGAAACTTTTTAAAGAAATAACTAGCGGTAAGCGGTGTAATTCTGTACAATCTCTTAATGTTAATAATCTTAATAAGTCTTTCATACGCTCCTCTGACTATATCCTTCCTAATGATACAAATCACATAGACAATAATTTTAATGGTTTTAATACCCTTGATGTGCTTAAATGTCTCCGTTCTCTTAAGCCTTCCCAAAGTCTTGGTCCTGATGGCGTACCTGCCATTGTCCTCAGGAACTGTGCTGATATTTTGTGTTACCCTCTTACTAATATTTTTAATGCTTCCTTTTCCAGTAATGTTCTACCTTCTGCATGGAAAAACATTAAAATTGTCCCTATACCAAAACAATCTTCTGGTACCGATAGTAAATTTAGGCCTATTGCAATTACTTCTCCTTTTTTAAAATTGATGGAAAAACTACTTTTACTTCGTCTTGAACCTTCATTGAAAGCTTTTAATGACCCTAAGCAATTTGCATATAAACATGGTAGAAGTACCTTGGATGCTGCGGTTGTCTTATATCATAATGTTGTTTCTTGTTTAGACAAAGGTGCCAAATATGTCCGTGGTGCTTTCCTAGACTACACATCTGCGTTTGACTCTGTACCTAGGGGCCTTTTATTAAATAAGCTCTCCTTGACGCACACAGCATCCTGGGCTAAGAGTTGGTTGCATTCTTATTTTTCTGATAGAATGCAGTATACTGCATATAATGGCAAATCTTCTTCTGCTTTGCTTACAAAAGCCGGTGTTCCTCAAGGTGCCATCCTCTCTCCCTTTCTTTTTTCTTTCTTCTTACATGACCTGCCACATTTAAACGAAACCAATTTTGTCAAATATGCTGATGATCTGACTGTATCACTGCCTATCACTTCTGAGTCTGACTGCTCCAAACTTAATAGCTTTTTGTTGGATATCAGTATGTGGTCTAAGTCAAATGGTCTTATGTTAAATCCTTCCAAATGTCAGGCAGTTAACTTTACCTTCAACCATCGACGTGACATACATGAACTAGTTAGTTCCCATGATGCCTGTAGCATAGATGGTACAGAAATTGAAACCAAATCAAGCATTAAATACCTTGGATTAGTTCTTTCCTCGGACCTTTCATGGTCATCTCACATTTTATTGGTCTCTAAGAAAATGTTTCGTCTTACCTTCTACATTAAAAAGTTAAGACAACAAGGTATCAGCCAACCTTTAGTTCTGCGATTTTTAAACTCCTGTATTTTACCCATTTTACTTTATTGTTCTCCATTAATCTTTCCTGGGCTTCTTAAAAAAGACTATGCCGTATTACGAAGGGTATTAAATGCTGTGAGTAGGGCTTGTGGTTTGCCACTGCGTGATCTCGCCAATACCATAGTCGAGAGACACGTAAATTCCTGTAAAAATTGGGCAAAGGCCGTACTGTCAGACCCTCTGCACCCTCTTCATTCACAATTATCCCCTTGTATCTCATCAGGTAGAACGAGAAGTCAATATAAGAAATTATATGCTCGTACCACTAAGTACAAAAATTCTACAATACCGTACTTAGCCCGTATTTTATGTGATGAAGACACTGTTAGACGTGAAACATATAAGTTACTATGTAATTAGCATAGTGAATCGACCCTTTCATTGTTCATCTTTCTGTAATTCTATGGTGTCACCCTTTCTATCGTTTAATTATAACTTTGCTATTTTTATTTTAGTTGTTATTACTATTATTACTATAATTTTATATTTTTCTCCTTATCCTCTACTGTAATTGCTACATAGCTCCTATAAAAACGTTTTGTTATCATTATTATGTATTAATTATTCCGTTTATCTACTTTTTTGTTTGTTGTTGTCGTTTTTGAGTAAATTAGATGCAATACTGTACTGAATGCTGAAAATTCCTTGCTGTATCATTAATACTGTTTTTGGAATAAAGCAAAAATTATTATTATTATTATTATTATACTAGTCAGTAGATAGAGTAATATATCTAGTCCTATGTTTGGTGCAGACTGAATTCTATAAGTCGAGTATGCAATGTGGCCACGATTCTAGGTGGCTCGCTATCAGGATGCACTGTGAATTGTTGGTGTTAGATGGTTGGAGGCAATCGGCAGGAAACCTTGAACCTAGGTTTCGTGGTGGCTGGTGGTTACATTGCAAACTTGACTGATAGAATTCAGTCTGCACCAAAGATAGTACTAGACACATTACGCTAGCCAATCAAAAATAGCTTCACTACTGTCTAGGAGTTTTCATTTCTTTTCCACATGACCTTCTCCGTGTCATCCCATGATACCCAAGCCATCGTATCCAGTTCAGGCAAATTAGTTAAGACACCAAACTCATCATTCAGACTCCGAAAAATTAACCAAAATTTAGGTAACTATATATCGCTAAAAGATTACCTGTTGTTCACAGATTAAAACCCGAAAATTGTAAGTGATAATTGAGGTGTTAAACTGATTCAAACTGGTAAAAGACCGAGCACTTTGGTTCAATCAATCGACGGGAAAATCTAAAATTCAATTAAATAATCAATATGACCCGTTGCACAAGGGGTGGCTCTCACGGCCCAAGTGGTCTAGTGGATAACGTTTTGGCGTTTGAAGCTATCTGTACTGGGTTCGAGCCTCAGTGGGAACATTATCACTCACTGGGGTATGCAAGTACGTCCAACTGACGAGTCCCAAATAGGACGAAATGCGCATCCTGGATTTCACTGCTAGTCACCATCCACCATTTAAATGGTAAAAGTATAACTTCATTGAAAACACTCTCAGTAATGGTTGTCATAGCTTATCATAGTGATATAAGGAAAGCTGACGGGATGTCAGAATTAAGTTTTAAAAGCATTTCGCATAAAACAGTCATTGACTTGCCATGTAGATATAAAACCATAGGCATCTTTAAAGCAAACAATTACTTATTGCGGACAAGATTTTGGTAGTTAATGAAGTTAAAATGAAGAATATATGTTATATGCACACAATTTGTGTAATATACAACACGTAAAGAGATTTATGGCTAATGACTATAGCACAAATTATCTCGTACACCGGTGGTTCCTCTAATTTTTACTTCTGTTTTCCTGACAGTGGTGGATGCGACTCCAGTTTTGCAAGGTTTACTGTAAAGGTGTTACATCAAATGACATCGAAAGCAATATTCATAAAACTAAAGTGTGAGCAAAACCAAACCTACGAAAATCTTTTTTCTGTTATACACCGTTGCGAATTCTTACTTATGTTACTAATACACATTTACTTCTCCTACTAATTTGAACACGAATTTAATTCAGTTGAAGAACCACTGAAAACCAAGGAGTACTGAACAGTTGTTTCGTCCTCATTTATGGCTCTTCATCGACACGCACTCATAACTTCACCAGGCGTCGAACGGAGTGAGAGGTCGTTATAAGCGGGGCACACCAATTTGACCGTGAAGACAAAAACTCACAGATGGTGTTGGCGGCTGCCAGTGGAGCTATAAATCGCAAAACTGGCAGAAGTTGGAATTGATGGCCCACCTATTGAATTCCGTCCCAGTGACTGAATGATCGACGAGTTTTCTTGTAAACTGAAGAGTCCTGGGTTCGACCTCTGGTGGGGTGGTGATGGGTACCTACTATTGGAAAGTCCCAAAACTAGGAGGAGAGAGAGCTTTTCAGTACTACTTGGTTTTCAATAGTTCTCTAACTGAAGTCGGTTCGTGATCCAATTTGAAATCAATCAAATCCTTGCAAACGAACACTAGAAATTTTTTCACTGAGCCTATTTCAATCCCTAATTTGATATTATTGTAAAATGTTTTGTTTCTTCTAGTATACATAAACCAGTATGAAGTCTTAAAATTAATTTCGTTGAATCGAAAACTTCCTTAATTATAATCCTTTTCATTTTGTTTACTTTTAATTATTACTCTGATTTCGGTGTGTAGAGTGTAGAGTCTTTTAGGATTAGTTAATTTGTATCGACGAATAATCGCTGTGTCGAATACTGCGTAAAGTCAATAAAATTAGCAATAAAAATAATTCTCAAGTGTTAGCTCGTAGTCATTTGATTGGTTTCAAGTGTGATCACGGATTAATACAATTTGGAGAGTCACTGAAACCCCAGGGAGTATTTGACAGCTCTTTGGCAGCAAGAATCTATAATCTCATGCAGGATGGAACCCTGGACCTCCAGGTTAAAAGGCGAGCTCGATGACCATTCTGCCAATTTTGCGATGTATAACGTCACCACCAGCCAATGTGTCAGCGGTGAATATTTGTCCTCACATCCAACTTGGTGGACTCGGTTAGTCACGACTTTCCACTAGAACTTTAGGTGACTGCAATCGGTAAGTCAGCCACTAGTGAGTATCAGATTACTTTTTAAGTGTTGATTTCTAAGGATTTTATTTGCTTTCAATTCTGATCACAGATTGATATCAATAAAAATTTTTCTTTTTATTCCTTCTCGTTCCCAGTGGAACATAGGGCTCCAAGCTAGAGGCTTCAAATTTCTGTAGCAGTGTTTATTTTTTACAGGATGGGTTTGCTAGCCTCATGCCCAACCTTTCCTCTTCACCATCATTATTTCTGGCTTAGAGAGGTAAAGGAGTGCGTCGGCCGGGGATCGAACCCCGGACCCTGTGCATGGTCGGCGAGCGTCCTAACCGCTGTACCACCGACGCACCCTCAATAAAAATAATGATATGAAATACTCACTTTAGCAAGAGTTTGTACTTGAGAGCCTAGTCCAAATTTACCCCCCATAAATGCAGCTGTAGAACCGACAAGATCTGTTGCAACTGTAGCATAGGCATTTTGTTGCTGTTTTTCTTCTTGTAAGCGTTTGCCATCCGCTAATGACCTACGCAGATCAGTATTTTGTGTTTGTAAATCAGAGACTAAATCTCTAAATTTAACAAAAGTTTGTTCATAGTCTGCAATTGTTTCACGTGTTGCATCTAAATTACGTACAAGTTGATTAATTTTACTATGGGATCGTTCAATTTCTTCGCGTAGTTCAAGTTCTGTTTCACGACTATTCTCTTGTAATTCATCATTCATTTCACAAAGAGCTTCCTATAAAAACCATAGGAGAAAAAAAAGAAGCAAATAATTATTTAATCAAAGCACTTTTTTAAAATCAAAGACGGTTAATTCATATGGTTTCTAGACTTTTTTGTCAAAGACACTAAACAGAAATCGACTCCATGTAGTAGTAATATCAGCTTTTTGTTAAAATCAAACAAAATGCTGAGCTTTAGTGATGGTTATCGCCTAACTATTACTTTCAGTACTGTTGCCTCTATTGTAAACATTAGTATAAGGTAATACTTTGGATGCTCGCACTTACACTGAACATAGAATTTGACTGGAATCTACAGCTTTGCAGATTGAAAAAGGGGCATTGCATATTTACAGTTTCATTTAAATTAACCTATGAACAGTGATTCGTAAGTTGATTGCAACAGCTAATTCCAACACACATGTAAGCAGCCCTATTGAATTCTTATGGATACACCTCCAAAGGAATTTATCTTACTGCACAGTCTACGAGTTGGTGTGACGTAAGTAACAAATTGAATTTTAACAGCTTTTATTTACACACTGATTGATAGTGAATAACACCCACTATGTGTGAAAGCTGATGATACTACCTGCCTCACCTAACCCCGGCAGATGGAGCGAAATTTCAACCCATGACTCGAAGATAAAAGCCGAGTACTTAAACTGATGAACTGTGGCTCAAAACAATGCTTAAGTAATAATAAGCATTTCACAAGTAACTTGATACTATTGATAGTAGGTGGAATCTAGTCTATTTTTTCTAAATACTCCTATGTAACTTCTATCAGAAAACTCTTGTACACTGTGTCCACGTAACAGATGATCTGCTTACAAAAGTGAAAAGGAGAATTTGAATGTTCAGCTGTTATTACTAGACCGATGCAAATGATGGGCTCACACCATAGGGAGTTCTAAAATCCTGATTCCAAACTAACAGTACATGAGTAATAGAGTCCGAGAAGGATGAATAGCATAAGAACCCCACGACCATGGGAATTGAACTCTTGACTTTGCTCCGTAGACTTGTGAAGGACCAGACTTCAAGTCAAAGATATGGAGTGATCCTATAAGAGAATCACCTACTTCATTCTGGAAATCTGTATAGTATTCCAACCCTTATGCAATGTGGAGCATCCTCTAGCCTCCATACTGTTTGTGTCTGAATAATGTTAGAACTAATAATAATAATAATAATAAATAGTACTTTCCGAGATGCAGAAAAAGTGTAGCATTTCTGATGAATGCACTGTTTGACAATCTAAAAATTCTTCAGATGAGCTTTATAGGTAACATACGCATACATATGCTACACAACTGACTTCGCATTATTATTATTATTATTTTCAAGAGTTGGTTTGTAAGGATTAGATCTGTTTTTCGAGTTTTACCACGGACTGATAATCAGTTAGAAGACCACTGAAAACTCGGAATTACTGGACAGTTGTTTCATCTTAGTTTGGGGGTCATCGGCAGTATGCACCCACTGGGGTTCGAACCCAGGACCTTCCGGTTACAAGGCAAGCTGGCTCGTATACCATTCAGCCACTGGCCCATGAATTCTAACTTGTACCTATTCGTGTTTTTGGCGCGACCATCAACTAATGTCATCGGCGAGAAATCCATCCTCATTCTTGTTATTATTTCAACAGCAGCTTGCTACAATATGGGTAACACAAGATGTGCCACACAAAAAAACAATGACACAAGAAATAGAGGAGAAATGGAGTAGTTGGGGAACAGCATTATGCAAACTGGCAAGCATACTTATTCAGGGGACTTATCACCGTATACTAATTTCAGATTACGATTCTCCGCCATATTTGGTAACACCTCAAGCCAGTGATTTCGACTATCATTTGGGGTAGGGGTGCAACAAGAGATGCTAAACTAATTACAACTATTCTCCATCCCATGACAACACGTCATGGACTGACCACCACCTATCCGCTTCTAACCGACGACCGTATAGTGCAAGTTACATCGCTTGCGCGAAACTTTCGTCATAATTGAGTGTAGAAATACCAAAATTTATTCTCATTCCATAGTAGTTTAACTAACGAATGAACGATAATTAGGTAAGTGGGTAAAGTGAGAGGAAAAAGCTGTGAACTACATTTACACTAGAAACTGAAGATATTTCATAATATCCCGTTACATTTACAACAATTAATTTATAGTTTTCTGTAAATCGTGTAAATAAAGGATTGTAGAGCGCCAATATCATAAAAAAATCAGTGCAAACAATAATGGTCTGCTTAAAGAACTAGGCTACCCAATTTTCTTTCCATCAAAATTTCTCTCATTTACTCTATTTCATTTTATTTTAATTACACAATTACATCTCTGAGTTGCAGTTTACACTCAGCCCCTTTTTTCAGTAGGATTCAACCTATCGCTGAGGAGAAAAAGCATAACAGGTTATCAAAGAGTATTTTTGATAGAAAAATATTGCTTCAGACGATATATTACTGATTAATTAATTTACTTGAAGATTCTACACTCAGAGTGAACACTTTGCAATAGAACATGCTGAGAATTTTGCAAGATGTATCAAAGCATTTTTCAGAATAAGCCTATTTGTACTAATGTGGTGAGTGCTACTTATAATCAGATATAAGTAGTATATCAGTAAAAGAGTTCAGAAAAGTAACAAAATGTTTTGGATCACTGGAAAAAGCAATCGAAGAAGAGAACTGTGAGAAGAACGCTACAAACACTGTGTAGAATCCATCAAGCTATCAGATGTGGAGGTATTCGACCTATTTGAAAATGATGTGCAAATGAAGACTTAATGATAAGTTATACCAAATTTATACAATGCGTTTGTCCCAATAAATATTCCCTCGAGCCTCATCGGTCTATTCTTCTTTACATTATTATCATTACTATTATTTCAAAAGAAATTTGTATATACATACCAGATCATTTCTTTCTTCTTTAATTTTCTCAAGCGCTTCTTCCAGTTCTAAATTACGTTGTGTCAACTGACTGACCATTGTATCAATGCCAAGGGAAGCATCCACTTGTTCTTTTAATTCAATAATTTGTTCAACACTATCTTTAACATCTTTTGTTAATCGTTCTTTTTCTGTTTGCAGTTGACTAACCTCTGATTCTAAAGATGTAATCTGTAATAATACAAACAAACAAAGGTAATATTCAGTGTAAAGTTTGGCATTTCAAATTCTCATAAAAAGTAGGTAAATAGAATGTGTCAATGTAGATTTCGTCGTGAACCAACATCAGTTAGGTTAGTATTGAAAACCAAGGAGCTCTAGATAACTGTTTCGTACCTAATTAGAACTCTTCAGCGATACGCACTCACGTCCCCAACAGGGTCAAATTCTGGGACCTTCATGTCATAAGGCTAATTCTGTTGACCACTTAGCCTGTTGCCGAAGAGCCACAAGTTGGGACGAAACTGCTGTCAAGTGTTCTATGGTTTTCGATGATTTGGGACGAAATCTGCGGTAAAATTAATCCAAATCCTTACAACGAAATTCCCATAATCTGAATACGATATCAGACGCCAGTGACTGTGATGTCTATTTCAAGCTATGTAGTACTACAAAATAGCATAGAACGGCACTGAAATAGTATAAATGAATATACAAATCGAACTGACTGACTGACTGGTTTCAAAATAAAACTCTGCACACATATGCAGCAGTTACAGTTGCCACTCTTCCTCCATGTAGCACACAGAGCAAGAGAGTAAAGAGATAATAAACAGAAATATGAAGTAAAAAGAATAGTAGTATGGAAGAACAATAGAATTTTATTAGATATCGTAAGTCATAAAGAGTGAATGTATGCTTACTGAGATTTCGTCTGAGATCAACCCGTTGGGGCTGATACCACTTCCCACCCAAATAATTGAAGTGGTCAATCAGTCGGTTACAGGTCGAACGGTTCAATTTGTACAAGCTCGAGAATTAAGCACTGGATCCATCAGTTATATAATATACGCCTTACGACAGTGATATGTATAACTGAAAAATTTAAAGTCATCACTTATTGGGATTTCCTGTTCCATCATTAATGATGTACAACGCTGTTAAGCTTGGTGATTAGCCAGCCCACCAGTTAAAAACTGAATACCAAAATGATCGATAGCAGAAGAGTGATGTGTGAAATTGCCTTCCAGAAAAAGTTGATCGGCACCTTCTTTACTATCAACAGTCAGTTCATTGAATACACAACCTAGAATTCTCTTCTCTAATGCATTTATCAATCCTTCCTTATTTGAATTTGAAATTACTAAAGCTATTTTCTGATTTTAATTCCATGTTAGATTTTCCCGTCGATTGATTGGATCGAAGTGCTCGGTCTCAGGTTGACATTTCGATTTCTTGTTCAGATGCTTCGACCATATCTTGGCACGTAATCAGAAGTTAATTGGTGGATGGTACCGAACAGCACTTCGGTCCAATCAGCCGACGGGAAAATCTAAAATTCAATTAAATAATCAATATGACCCATTGCATAAGAGGTGGCCTTCGTGGCCTAGTGGATAACGCTTTGGCGTTTGAAACTATGGCCACTGCATTCGAGCCTCGGTGGGAACATCATCACTCACTGCGGAATGCAGGTACAGCCAGATGGAGAGTCCCAAACAGGGCGAAATGCGTATCATGGATTTTATTGCTAGTCACCATCCACCAATTCACTTTTAGGCTTTATTTTCCCACTCAGACAAAAAGTTATCCCAGAGTTAACTGTAAACTTTGGCATTGTCTATGAGTGAGTTGGTGTCAAAAGAAGAGTTGGAAGAATAAACGGAATTTACAACACAATTAAAGCCAATATATGAAGAATTCACAATACTCAGCTATACAGCTCCACTAATATTTATAACTTTTGGTAGCCTTTTTAGTGTTCTTAAAAGTAGACTTGGTTGGTGTACAGAAAATTAATAGGTTTAGAAATACTGAATTGGTAAGTTGAGTGCATTCACTACTTATCTCATAAGTTAGAACAACCTTATCTATGATAACAGTGACTAGCAGAGGAATGCAGTATGAGCACTTCGTCCTGTTTGGGATTCATCACTGGACGTACCTATGATGATGTTCCACTCAGACTCGAACCCTACACCCGATGCGCTTTGATAAGAAGCTTGTGCTGAAGATGTTGTCTGGAAGGAACATGAAAACTTCAGTTTTAAAATCACCCAGTTCAAAGAAGGCAAAAACATTAAAATTACAACTTTACACGTTCATCGAGTTTCTTTCTTTGCTCACTGTATCATACATAAATTATTAAGCAGGTGTATTTACCTGTTTAGTTAAAGCTGAGATTTCCGATTTATCTTGATTAACTAAGTCACGTAGCTTGACCAGTGCTTCTTTCATTCGTTCATTTTGTTGTTCAAGATTTTTAAACTGTAAGGGAGTTGGACCGCCTTCAACACCGACTGCTACTCCACCTGGTATTTTCCACAAGACAGAGAAAGAGAGATAACAACGTAGAATACAATAAGTAACTACGAATGCAGTGTCTAGTAATTTATCTCACTGAGTAAGAAAAAAATGTTAGCGAATTTCTGTACAAGAAAACGCAGTTGCCCTTGATGTAGGAACAGGAGTATAATTCCATATCATGGGATAATTTCATTCGATAAAATAACTCAACGTAGGATTAATAATAAGACAGGAATTAGGGTGGAATTTAAACCTACAAACTAACTCAGAGATTAAAGGACCCTATTAGGCAAAACTATTTAATCAATATAATGACCTGCAGTGACTGTGAGAACAACTACAACTATAAGACCAGTAGTTTGGTCAGATTATTGGAGCATACGAATTTAGCTAAGTGTGAAATGACGGACCTCACAAAAATGAAAATCACATAATACAGTGGGGACAGAGCTACAGTTCTGAAAAGTAATATAAATAGGTGGAGAGAGAAATCGATCATTGAATTTTTCTTCATTTAATCTATAGTTAACACATGAGTAGGAATAACGTAACGCTGATATACTGGAGATATGGAAAATATTACTATCAACTGAATCAAAGGATAGGAAATACTAGAATTATATAAACAAAGTTTGGAAGTTATGTGAGTGCCTTGATATAGTTGTAAACAATAAAATATTGTCGAAACGTCATCAGTAAACAATGTTGTATCACTATGGTTTTTCTCCCCAAATAAAATTATTCTTTCAAGGGACGGGGTGACCTTTTATATTTTTATATATTCTTCTTTACCAATCGGTAGATCTTGATCCTCAGAATTGAAAAATGAGTCTTGAGTAATTTCACGCACTGACAGTATTGGCTTATTTATGTGATTCCCTACTGATACATCTGACATGAATTGATCAGCTTCAATTTGGTATACAGTTACAATTAACGACCTGGTACGGTCGACGGTGGGTAAACTTCGGTCTTCCTCTCGAAGTCGTCTCATGGTTACGTAAGTCCTGTTTATTACCTTTAAGCTGTCTGGTTGAAAGGATGAATCTGGACATCTGGCGCTTACAACTGGACTGATGAACTCATTCAGTAGATGCTTAAATACTGCCTTGAAGTTTATAAAATGACTTCTCAAAATACATGAACAGCAAGCATGGAGATAGTTACCACAATAGCTCCTGAATAGGCTGAGAAAACTATCGAGTGACACATCACGTGCTAGACCCTCGAGTGAGATTCAAACAACAATCGATGAGCTGGGCATCCCAGAGTGACATGAAGGAGGTCGTATGAGGTGGAGATGAAAGTTATGAGCAGTCGTGGGGCCAGCTACGACAGACCGAAGGCGATAGGATGAAATATCGATGTGTTGCTGAAGCAATATGTTCCACTAGGAACCCTAATGAATAATAACATACAATAGAAACGATTTTAAAATAACCCTGAAACAACTTAAATCATTACTACTAACCTTTTTCTTCAGATTCTTCTTTCAAGATTTGATTCTCAAGAGTTAATTCTTCTACTTGTTCCTTAAGTAATTCAATTTCTGCAGTCAATGTTTCTAGTTTTTCTTCTGCCATTTCTTTATCCAAAGTGGCCATTTCTATATTTTCAACCATTTCAGTTACTTCTTCACGATAACGATCAAATGCTTCTTTGACTTCAGCTTTTTCCTTAATGGAGATTAATAATAAACACATTATTGAACCAGGTTTTCAATGAAAATACCCAGAGATGTATTTAGAAACTAAGGAGAACTAACAGAGAGAATACTTCCTAGCTTGGGACTTTTTACTAATGCAAACACATGACTGTATGAAGCCAGGAGCTCAGGATCATTGAGTTACAAGGTGGGGATGTTATCATTGAACCGAACGGTTAACGTTCAATGTTTGAACTCAGTTCTGGAACAGGTGTCCCATATTCTAGGGACAATGAGTCACACTTATTGTGTGAGGGCTAATGACCTAGGTAGGAATAGTGGGATTCGAACCCGGGACCCACTGGTCAAAAGTCAAGTGCTTAAATCAATGAGCTAAGTTTGCCTTGCAACTCCTGAACTCATTAGCAGAAGAGATTAGTGCAAAACTTATGAGAGTAATACACTCAGGAGAAGTTATTACTTTTAAAAGCAGTTACTTCCTTTCATGAATTTCGACAACAACGAAAAATTTCACTCAGTTTGTTCTATCTGAAACGTGTAATGCATTCACGTAACACATTTCGGGCATTCTGATCACACGTCCTCCTTGTCAATACATATTTATATAAAAACTAACGGATCATAAAGGTTCAAAAATCTACCAATGAGTCAAAGAGTCACGATCACAGATATGAGGTGGGAGAATCACACACACACGAAAGAAACGTCGACTTTTTGATAGTTGGTGTGTATTAAATAGCAGTAAAAAGATCAACAGTCTCCGCACATAACTCTGTGAGCAGCTAAACGAGCAAAACTCACATTGGTAGAAGTGTCTCCACTATATTATTAGTATTCGCTATCTGCAAAATGTGATTACTAGCACTACCTTTTTAACGTCAACTTGGTTATTACATACAGAGTGGGTAGATATAGGTCCCATCGATTGTACAATTGCTAAATTACACTGATCTATTATTAACATGCGTCATGGATGCGAAATAGTACGAAAATAAAGTGCAGTGGCTATTTGTGGTTCTATAACTGAGAACCATTTTTTTAAAACTGGAACTGGGAACAGTCAAAACTCGAGTGTTAGCAGTCAATAACTTCATGTCGCATCATCAATAGCTCACTTCATATAGGGTCATTTTCAGGTTATAAATCGATTTTGATTAGTTATCGCCATCAACTGAGAATATATTATCACCTTACAGTTAATCAACTAAGAGAGTTCACTAATTCTTTGTTCATACAATTCTATGATTTATTTACAAAAGTTTCAATTCTTAAAAGAAACATCTGCCAGTATGGCTAAGTAAAGGTGTAGTGAAAACCATCGACAGTTCGATATTAGATCATCTGGTCCAAAGCAGCCACAAAGCCAGCCACCATTGAAGAATCCTTCTCTATCATCTACCGCGTGCCAAATAAATTCCCAAAAAGTTCGAAGTACCGCATGCTCCAAACACCAGAGGCTGTCGCAATTCGCGTGAAACGACCAGTGCTTTGTGTGCAAAAGAAGCAAGTCCAGCCACTACTACTGCCCTGGCAGGCTTTCAGTTGAGACTATAAATTCATGAATTTGTATTATTATCTTTCCTAATTTTCCTGACATTTAGTTTATTGTTATATTGGTGCTATTGAACTGTAATCTATTGATATTATTGATTCGCTGTTATTTAAACAACATTAATGTTGTTCATAACACTAATTCATTCATTCACTATAATGTATATATAACTGTAGAGCGTGATGATGAAGTTATCGAAAAGAGTACTCTTTGTTCAGTATCCATTCTTTAGAAACAGTAATGATAGTGACTTCAAAAGAATAATTTAAGCGCCAACTACAACAGTTCACCAACCCAACAAAATTGTTAAAATCAATATAAGAAAGAAAACCTACTGTTTTTAATTGAGCAATTTCACGTTGTAATTCAGCTGCGTGTTCTCGCATCAGGCGTCGATTCGCTTCAACTTGTGACAGCTGAATTTTAACACGTTCTAATTCTTGTATTCTATTTTTATCTTCTTCCCGTTTAGCTTTTAAAGCATCAATTTGTTCATGAAATGTGATTACTTCAGCACGTAGATTTGCCAGTTCCAACTCTGTGTCTGGGGAGTACTTACCAGTACCACTTGGAACAGCTGATACAGATGTTTTTGGTATTTTTTGAGACGTATCTTTAGGTTTACTTGGTGTATTTTCAGGATCCACCTTCTGCGCAGCCGCTTTTACATCACTAGGTGGTGTTGTCGTTTGTGGAATTTCTGAAGGATTTGTTGGCATTTTAATACCAGTAGGGATAGGCGGTGTTGATGTAGTAGTGGTAGTAGAAGTAGGGAGTTTACTCTCACTCATCTTACGAGCCGGACTATCCGATTTTGAAATTTGTGTGTAAGATTTACTCATTATGTCACCGGACTTCATAACATCTGCTGCAACAGGTTTATCCGCAGAAGGCTTACTAGATGCACTTTCAATTCTTGCAGAGGCAGTTTCAGGTTTCAAAGCTGTTGATGTTGGAGCTGGACTACTTCGTGCAAGGTCTGGATTAGATCCAGTTGGTGGAAGCTATAAAAGTGAAGAAAAAAATGAGTAAAAGTATGGAAAGTGATGGTTTGACAAGCGCTGCTTCAAAAAGGAATTGGCGCTTAAAACAACGCCTACACTGACAAGTCAAGTGATATGACTGAAGGATTAGTGCGGAACCTTGCACAACACTTCATTAGTTCATGGTGCTACACTTCAAAGCACCACATAGAAACTCCAATGTTGAGTGCAAAAATTACCACCGAGAAGAGAAGCAGATGTACCTTTTGTAATTTAGCGAAACACGAGATAACAGAATAAACTGGTACTCATAACGTGCAACACACTAGGTGGTTGTGTTAAACATGTGGTTTATTTAAATATATACAAGACCACCAAAAACTGAAGCTCAATACATGTACAGTAAAAGGAAGAGTAAAGCTTAACAACAATTTAAAGTAATCTCAGACCTTACTGTATTATAATTACTACTCCCACGGGTTACTAGTAGAAAATTAGGCTTCACAGCAGCACAGATTCATTGCATCTTGTTCTCTGCAGTCTTTTCTTAGGTGGCTCCTCGACTGCTCATAAGCTTTCATCTTAACCTTACACGACCTCATCCATGCCATCCTCGGACAAACAAAGCATCTTTCGCTTCCCATTCATGTTTTACTCGAGCGCTTGGAGCATGATGCCACAGTCTTCTCGTGTATGTCCGATCCATATCTATGTCCTTCTACATATTTATTGGGCGATAGGCTTTTGGGCAGTTGCCTGTTGGAGTTCCTTGTTGCTTACCTTTCTGGTCAGCCATCTGATCCTCAGTATGGAACCAAGTCTGTCTGGTATGCTTTTGATAGTGCACCAATTCTCTAAACCATATAGAATCACTGACTGACTTGACAATGGCATTGGAAATTCGGATCTTGTTACTTATACAGAGTTCGACAGATTCCCACACTGATTTCAAAGTAATGAAGGCCTGTATTGCCTTTCCGACCTTGCCTTTGATATCTTCATCCGTGCTTCCCGCCTAGGTAATTGAAAGAAGTGGCTTCCTCCACACTTCCCCCATTGATGTTAGTTCGTTCTTGTTTTATCAATGTTCATTTGAAGTCCTGTCTTCACTGCCTCTTCTACTAACTTGTTGGTTTTTCGCTTGTAGATCTTCAGGCTTCTGCGAAATTAGACATAAATCATCGACGAATGTCCAGATATTCCAGTGTCTATTTTCCCTCCAGTGTATGTCTGTCCTGTCTCTCCTGACGTTCTGTCGCATAGCTCAGTCTAATATAACTAGAAAAATCGTCGGTGGTAGTAGGCTGTCTTGTCTTACTCTAGTCTTTACTTCAGAGGCTTTGCCAAGCTCCCCGTTGTGAATCAGTTGGCATGTAGCATTGTCATATAACTGTTGAATGAGGCTGATACATGTTTGAGTTGCTGCAATCTATGGTGTCAGATCACTTTCCAAATTACCTTGAATGTTTTTACATAGGCATTTACAAGATGAAATCCCGAAAGCTTGAACATTATCAACAAGGAATCTGAACTATTGAAGAATTGATAATTTTAGCAGAACCATAAACTTTGTTTAAGAAAACCTGTTTGTCTCATTCATTTTTAGATACGCTATACTGTAAGATGATTTATCTATATTTGATATTATAGACATGGTTTCCAATGTAAAACACACAAGAAGCTACAATTTACTTAAAACCTTAAAATTAACCATTTTATTTATTTATTTAATTATAGCTTCATTCCACACAGTATTTTGGTACAAGTACGGAATTCTCCGCGTGTGATATCGGTAGTTCAAATTTAGTCGGCCGAGACCATTGATATCAGGTGGGCGTCGGTTGGGGATCGAACCCCGGACCATATGCATGGTCGGCGAGCGTCATAACTGCTGTGCCACCGACGCCCTGATTAATCACTAAGAATGAAACACAAGATGATGAGATCTAGTGAGCTCCAAAAGTTCTGCAGCAGCTGTTGATTCATGCAGTTTACTTCCATTTATCACTTAAAACAGAAAAAGATTTAGTAAAATAAGGTATTAATAAATTTATCACACAAGTTCAAATATTAATAAAGCAAAAACCACACCAGAAAGAAAAGATATCATTTGTATGAAATTGATAGTCAGTTAACAAGACAGTCTGCACAAAACATAGTTGGTGGAAATCCACTACAGAGTAGATTTCGAGGTGTTGTGCTTTGAAAGTACAGATATAATTAAGAGAATTGCAAAAGATTGTGAGTAAACACCAGACATTAACAATGACCAGTTAGTATTAGGTAAGTGTTTTACAAATAAGCAAAAGCATGATAAGTGAAATACAAAAGGTGAATACTGTTCAGCAAGAGAACATAAAATACTAGAGAGGAAACGACCAGGATACATATGTAAGATATTAAATTACTCATGTCATATTCTGATTCTCAGTATTTAAATAACATAGGAGTAAGAACTGCTGTGTATTACTGAGCCATGGAGCCTTGATTTATCAGAAGTAG